AAAAAAAAAAAAAAAAAAAAAAAAAAAAAAAAAAAAAAAAAGACAATGAGCACCTGAAATGAACTGCTTCACCATGGTTCTCCATTCAAAGGAGTCAACAGCTGTTGTTTAATATCACGTGACATGTCTGTCTGAGTCATTGGGGTTTTCTGAACGTGTGCTCTGAGGGACAGAATCAAAGTATGGTAGTCTGATGAATAAATAATTCATAAGAATAAACTTGTTTTTAAGCTTCAGTATCAGACAATATTTATTCTTGAACACAAATGACTAAACTGCAGCAGAAAAAACAGTTTTACTCAAGAACAGGAAAACAGGATCTCTGATACGCTCTGTTTATGCAGCTTCTCATGAAAAGTTGTATTCTTTACTTCGAAAATTAGCTTCTTTATTTTGTTGATTTTTGTTTCTCTATTGCATATTGCCTTTGTGATGTTTAAACTCAATTGTTTGAGGTGATATAAAGGCAAAGATGTCTGCTAGATACAATTAAATTCATTTTTATTTACACCAGCCTATTTTTTTGATCCAAATCAAAACATAAATACATGGTTTGATTAAAAAAAAGAAAGATCAGTAAATAACAAAACTTAATTGTGTTTTTGAATCGGCTCTCGTTCATGAATCGAGCTAAATGAACCGATTCCATTTAAGAGCCTGAATTCTCATCACTACCAGATGGAAAGGAGCCAAGCCGAGTCAACTGTCAGTGGGCGGGGCCTATGTCGGCTTCCCTCTGATTGGTCCGCTGCTCGGCTCCTCTTTTCCTCATCGATGAACTGAATCGGCTCATGTAAAAAAAAACTGCTGCTTGTGCCTTATCAAAGCTCCTTTTACCGGTAAGTATATATATATAAAGGCGCCTATTAAAATATTTTGAACACGTTATTTAAGAAGACGCTGTTGGTGTCGCAACGTTAAACAGCTTACCGCAGCGAARAAGCAGTCAAATAAATCAAAGAAGTATTCGCCGTCTCCGGGTCTTTTACGTAAGGCTTTCAATTAGTGCGCCCTTTTAAGCTCCGAGTTTTTCGTATGTAASGCGAAAAGGCTGAGCCAGGGCAGGTTTTATAGTCTTCGGGTTCCTCCTGTGGTAATAATTGATCCTCTATAGCGTCCTTGATACTTCTGGGTGACGCAACACGGATAGAGGATGTCCAGTCCGTCCATCCCTGGCCCGTCTCGTTTGCTGTGTAATACTGTTCGCCTGCTGGAGCAGTTCTTTGAGTTCAACWCGATTCAGAACAATGTGTACATAGTTTATTTTTAAGTTGCATTGCCCACTCCTGTATGCATTTAGATCACTGGTAATGTCCCAGTTCAGGCTCAACACCATGACAATCTGACATGTAACGCTTGTGTTTTGTTTCAGCACCATGAACACTCTCTCTCAGACTAAGGAGCTCTTCAGGAGAGCGGAAGCCGTGTGCTTCGACGTGGACAGCACAGTCATCAAGGAGGAAGGCATTGACGAGCTCGCCAAGTTCTGCGGCGTGGGAGACGCCGTCAGAGAGATGTATGTGTGCGACAGCCAGTTYGAATATACTGCCTGCGTTTCTCCCGCAGAAATAAAGCCATCCCCGCGTCACCTTCTCGTTTCAGGACCCGCAAGGCCATGGGCGGCTCGATGACGTTCAAGAAGGCCCTCACCGAGCGTCTCTCCATCATCCGGTGCTCCAGAGAACAAGTCAACAAACTCATCACTGACCACCCGCCTCAGCTGACTCCAGGCATCAAGTGAGTGTGTGAAGAATTTGATAACGTAAATCAATTCAACAGACTACATTCTGCCCTTTGTACGGAAATAAATTGACACGGAAATCCTGTATTCCTACCTTGAGCAGTGAAGAACAAACTGATTTGTGGCGTTGTATTCCTCCAGATTAATATAATTTGCTCAGATTTGCCTTCCTGTTTGTGTCACCTGTCCCAAGARTCTGTGCCTAAAAGTTTCAAATATAGATTTAATAAATGTGTGATAAGATAATGAACAAAGACAGTCATGCTTATAACCTAGTTTGCAACAGATCAAGACCTTTTCTAAGTTTTGTGCATATTTCCTGAACACACTGATAAAAATGGTCCGCTGATGTTGCACCACTGCACATGTTCAGGTTAAGGAAAGTAAACACGATGTGTTGTAATCGGCTGTGCTGAGTTTCTTTGACGAGCACGTCGCTTATGGAACGCCACATTTTCTGTTGTTCTTCATAAGAGCTTGAACAAAACATGTCCCTGTCTGCTATGAATTACACCTTACTGGTGTTAAGTCACTGCGTTGTGTTGTGCTCAGGCTTGTCTCACTGTGATAGCAGACATTAGCTGTTTCTCTACCCGTCTGTTTCAATTTTCAGTCCTACAGTGGACAATTTCATAGATGTTAGAAAAATCAAACTGCAGTAGCCTCATGGGTCAAAGATGATCCTCACTGATGTCACAGGGTCAAAGGTTACATACAGGCTTTTGTTTAAACTTTCCAGCTTTACATCCCTGAAATGTCAAACGCTTTGTTCCCTACATTGTGCCTATCTGTCCATTTATACAAAAAGTAAAGAAATTTGTGTTTGGTAGATTATTTCTGTGTTATAACAATACGTCTTGGCAATAAAGCTTATTGGCAGCACCTGAGGGTACCAGAAGCTCAAAACAAGTTTCAATAGCAAACAGGAACGAAAGTTGTTTGGCWGAGAAGATTTGGGAAAAAAAAAATTATGTTACATACTCAGCTCTGCTGCTCTTCCCACAAATGCATGTTCCTTACAAATGTGGCGCCATTTAAAAGGGAAATTAACAGGCTTTCCTATAAGATAGGGATGTCCCGATCCAGTTTTTTTGGCTCCCGATACAATCCGATTTTTTAAATGATTAGTCTTTCCGATACCGATCCGATTGTTTTATTTCTTTCCAAGTGACAAGGTTGGTAGTATTAAAGCGAGCCCTGCTGTTCCCACCATGAGGAACATCCAGTTTACAGATTTTGCAAGATGCAGTTTCAGCATCGTTTTCCATTGAAAAGTGTTCCCACACTGTGGACATGGTTGCAYACTTGTGTGCGTCTTGACTTCTTAATGGCAGTTGTGAAGCATGATGATGCTGAAAACTGGATCGGCCCGATCACATGACAAAATCCGATTCTAACCGATTTTCAAAAAAGAAAAAGAAAAAGGCCATATCTGCCACCGATACCGATACTGAGTATCTGATCGGAACATCCCTAGTATAAGATCATAAGGCAGTCCACAGTAAGTTATCGATGTGATGTCACAAATTTTAAAGATAGAAAACGTCACCTAAAAAAATCTTGAGTGGTACTTAAAAAGTCTAGTACTTTGATCATAAAACGGTTTGGATAATAATACACTGAACTTATATAGCGCTTTTTAGGAGACTCAAAGATGCTTGGTGGTTGTATGTTACAATGTAATAAAAGCGGGTATTCAATAAGTAAGTTCTTCACACCATAGACTTGAATAAGATCACTAGACTGAGCCCCGCCCATACCGTCCCTGGTAGCGTCTGTGACAGCATGGAGGAGCAAAAATGGTGTCCAAAAGGGCAACAGATTATGGCCWCCATAGAAACTAATAGATAAACAGCAAACTGAACCAGATCTCTTTCACAGATTATTGGTCATGTTTTTACAATAAATTAATAACCATGTTAATCTCATTCAACAATCACATAAAACAGATTTATACCAGAAAATTATATAATTTAAAAGTAACAATGATCTAAAACAGACCTGAAGTCAGCCTGTAACTTAGAAAAATGATGACTTTCGCTAGTAATAAAGTATATTTATTATTTCTTCTTACTGTCATAAAAATATTAATATTTATATTTACCAGTCAACAGTTAGAAAATGTTTACTGGTTTTAGGATGAAACTTGTCTCTAGCTAACCATCTTCTCAACAAGTCAGGTTCCTCTAACAGGAACCTAAAAAT